TGCCTGTTTTAAACCATACAGTGATCTTTGCAACCTCCAAACCATGGAAGAATCGTCTTTGTCGTACCTAGGAGGTCTCTCCATATATATAGTCTTCTTCAAATCTCCATGAAGAAAAGCATTCTTCACATCCAGTTGCAGAAGAGGCCATCCGCACATGGCTGCCACAGCAAAAATGCAACGAACCTTCTGCATCTTGACCACAGGAGAGAACGTCTCATCATAGTCGATGCCATATTCTTGCCGAAATCCCTAAGCAACAACTCTTGCTTTAAATCGCTTGAGCGTCCCATCTGGATGCATCTTTATCGTATACACCCACCGACTTCTAATAATCGGCATGTCAGGCTGCCTAGGTACAAGATCCCACGTGTGATTATCCTCAAGAGCGTCCATTTCAACTTTCATTGCAGAATTCCATCTTGGATCACGGGCTGTTTGAGAGTAATGCGTTGGGACCATGATTGGCTGGGCTGAAAACCCAACAAAGTCTTGCATTCTAAGTGGCGGTTGACTATGATTTGCTTTGGCAGAGCGGCGCAAAGGGACAAGAGCTTGTTGCTGAGAGAGTGGTGGAGAGTTATTACCACTCGTAGAGGAATAACCAGAGGATGACGCAGAAGTTTAATGAGACGAGTTGCTGGAGTGCGTCGAGTGCCTGTAAGATGACGAGGACGTCGTGCTGTTGTTCGACGCGCCTAATGAGGATGCAACGGGTGAGGATGGCACTGAATCCATCAAAGTAGTGGTTGTATGTGTAGGGGACAACGTGTCAGTGGTGTGTCGAATGTGGGCAAGGACAAGAGAAAGTCAGGAGAATCAGCTGAGCGCACGTCGATCGGAGATGTCCAATAATACATGTCTAGCTCAAAAAATTTCACATGGTAAGCAATTCTCATATGGCAGCTAGCTGGATCATAACACATATAACCTTTGTGTTTCTCACTATACCCAACAAAGACACACCGAGCCACCTTAGGAGCTAACTTATGACGTTCTTTCCACGGCAACAAGAAAAAACAAGTACAGCCAAATACTTGAAGTGCGGAGTACTTAGGAGGCTTCGGATAGAGAGCTTGATATGGAGACTTATGTTCTAACAATGGTGTGATTTGCCGATTAATCAAATATACGATGGTGTGCACAACTTCCACCCAGAAACTAGTAGGCACCAACGAGTGAAAGAGAATGGCCCTAGTAATCTCGAGAACATGACAGTGCTTACGTTCCATCGCACCGTTTTGTTGAGAAACGCCGAGACAGGACTATTGAGGAAGAATACCCTCCGTCTTAAAGATGAGTTGCAACTCATTAGAAGAAAATTCTCCCTCAAGATCAGACCGAAGAACCTTGATTGTTTTGCCAAACTGGATCTTAATCATTTGAATATACTCTCGTGCCATAGCTGTTAATTCAGATTTCTGCTTCAAGAAATATACCCAGGTGAACCGAGTGGTACGATTGATAAACAAAGCAAAATACATGTACCCAAGCCGTGAGATAACAGGAGACGGTCCCCAAAGATATGTACGGATCAACTCAAACGGTTCCTCAAAAACCGTAGTACTGGACGCAAAAGAAGATTGAGGCCTCTACACAGCTTACACAATCAGAAGGGCAAACAAAATTCTTCAATTTCAACTTATCGGTTAACAAATCTTGTTTAAACATATTCCTCAATATCTCAGAATGAGAATGTCCCAAACGCCTATGCCATAAATCCCATTACGAGTTTCCGACTAAAATATCCGAACTAAAAGCAGAAAGATGTCCATCCCCCTTACAAAAAATCCTACGACAAAACTCCCCATAACCAGATTAGGCAAGATGACTCCGCTGGACCTCATCACTTCGTCCCTCCCATGCAGCACCCCATGTATCCTTCACGTATCATCCACCAAGTTCATCGTGCACAAAGGTCCGTCCATGTTTCTTCCCTTCCTGATCACCCTCCCCGACATCTGCTCCTGCACAACACAATCGGTGGGATCTAACTTGACACAACAACCTGAATCTGTCAATCGGCCCACAAAAATCAGATTCGGATGGAGCTTCGGAACAAATAGAGTGTTAGGCAGAGTAATGGAACCAGTGGTCGCAGTACCAGACCCATGAATTGAAATCTGCTCACCATTCACCACCTGGAGGCATATATTCTCAACCGAACGTAAATGATTAAAAACAGTACGATCAGGCGTCATATGACTGAACACGGCAGAATCTAAAAGCCATCGTAAGGACTTACCCGAAGCACTACTCGCAGAGAAGGCAGAGGATAAAGCGGCTTGAAGAGCTTCTTGAACCATCCGCTGGAGTTGGTCAGGGGGGATAGAAGCAGCAGAAGAAGGACCGGTAGCAATGCCGAGTGTGACCGGGTAACCAGTACGAGAGGACGAAGAGCTGTCGGCAGAAGCGGGGCGAAGGCGTCCCTTCTTACCCTGCGTTGGACAGGCTAAGACAATACGTCCGGTCTTCTTACAGTAGTTACAGAAGTTCCTCTTCTTGCAATGGATCTGAACATGGCCAGGTTCATGACAAAAGTGAAAAATAACCTCACCCGAATTCGAGGAGACAAACTGAGGACGCGGGGCAGCAGCGGGACGACCAACAGCAAAGGTGGAGTCAATAAAAGTGGTCGAATTACCAGTCTGTGATTGGCTCTTCAATCGAGTTTCCTCTTCATCAGTTCAGCCACCATGTCATCAAGAGCATTAACACTTCTATGTATCAACGAAGCACTAATAGGTTCATATTCAGACCAGAGTTTTGCCAAGAACTGAAAAGTATAGGTCCTGGCGCGTTTGGCAATGACAGTCGCATAAGCAGCATCGGGTACCAATGAGGCAGTCAGAAGGTCGTACTCAGTATAGAGATGCAGACAAGCTTGCTAATATCCGTGAATACCCTTGTCACCCTATGATAGACGATTAATCTCAGTTTCCATCTCGAATTGGCGAGAGGCACTGTTCTGCGCATATGTATTACAAATATGCTTCCACATATCATGCGCCTTGGTAAATCAACGCAAACTGAGCACCGTCGAAATATCAACAGTACCAGCAATCCATGTGATAAGCTGCGCATAGCAGCCCTCCAATCCTCAATATCCTTCGCCGAGGCATCAGCCGAAGGTTCCTTCAACTCACTAGTCAACATAGGAAGGAGGCACTTCCCAGCCATGAAATTTCTAAATTGAAATTCCCAAATTGAAAAGTTTTTACCATCAAAACGGATTTAAACAGAGTCAGTTCGAGAAGGATCCATCTCCAAACAAGGGATGAAAGAAACAACACGCAAGAGCCAAGGCCAATAATAAACTCAACAAGCCTCCTACAATAATCAACACCGAAGGCAAACCAACCAATCCCGTGACGGAACCTAAGCTGCTACACAAAGAAACCAACAAGCCTATGCGCAAACAACGGCCAGAAGACCCACGCGCAGCCAAGAGCAACGAAGAAAACCAAATCTACGCAGCCGCAACCAACCGCCGAAAGAAACCAACTAACTTTTAGAGTAGAGGCTCTGATACCATGTCAAATACTACGAACTCGAAGCTAAAGAACACCGAGGATTTTAATGTGGTATCCCTGAAGCTCAGGAATAATCCACGGGAGAGGTTGTGCTCTCCAAAATACTTCACTATCGACAAAAGGGATTAACCCTACACAGTTACATCATTCGACTATATATAGGGGAATAAACACTAACCTAATAAACTAGACAACTACAGGATTAAACATAATTACAGAAAGGTACCCAAAATAATATAAATAAACAGTTCTCGCCATTGGGTCCAAAAGATCGTGGTCGCGATCTTTGAGCTTGCACCCGCGATCCTCTGGCTTGATTTCGCGGGATGCTTTCTTGGCCGAGATCCTGCTCCTAGATCATTGTGTTTGCTCATTTTCACCCCTTTGTCCTACACATTAGCCACATTTTCTCCCCTTTTCGCTTGTAAGTCAAATGCAACCTAAAACGACTCGAAAAAGCAAAATGAAGCAATCTAGACTACAAATGACATTTTATAAATGAACTCATGCTCAATATGACAATAAAATGTCTAATAATTGAAGGCTATAACACCTTTTTGAGTGTTGTCATGCGCCAACATCAAAACCTTTTATAGTTGAATCAAACAAATAACATAAACATATAAACATTTATATTTGAATTCAACAAATTACATCAACATTTAACTTTTAAATTAAAGAAACGAATAAACTTTTTTTTTAATTAAAATCACAAAAATGACATAACTTTTTTAGATATCTTAAATCGATCATGTCAGTCATACCAAAAGTATTCTAGTTTTTTTAGGGTACCGGTTGAACCGGGCAATGATTCACATTATGATTTGATTGAAATCGGAGGACCTTTTCGTAAAATGGTCTCTTACTTTTGTAGAGTGAGCCGCCATCTCACGGGCTAAAGGATGGAAAATGGAACCGAAGAGCCGCAAACGGAGAAAAGACTAAAGAGTCGAAGTTCCAAAGTCAATCCTGTATGTAACGATTGGAGAAAGGAGGAAGATTAATTCTCGGTGAGCTCTTATCTGTCCTCTTCACTGTTTTCCTGTGTGGCGTATTAGGGTTTTTCTTGTAGATGTGTGCTCGTGCGGTATTCAGCAGACAGCTTTGTAAAATTCTTACCCGGTCTCCGTCAAAATTGATTGATCCTTGTTGAATGTGGTAGAAACTTCGTTGTATCTTTCATATGCTCTTGCTTTTTCATTTCCTTTTGGTTTTTGTATCTCGGGAAATCTTTAGCTGCTTTTCCTGCAATCCGTCTGCGAAAAAATAATGAAAGAGTGCTGTGATTTCATTTCAGAGTAAAATTCCCCCTTGACTTCTGTTGCAAAAAGGTCCAATTTTGAAAGATACCAATTTTGCGTTTAAAGTTTGTTGAATGTCGGTGTGACAGTGATCTGTGCGTTGCAGATATGTGATTATGTGAAGGGGGAACCTTTGGCTGGCGTGGTTCTAATTTTGATAGAACACATGGAGTCTTGCAATTGTATCGAACCACAGTTGCCCCCAGATGAATTGCTGTCCAAGTATCAATATATTTCAGATTTTTTTATTGCTCTTGCTTATTTCTCCATCCCATTGGAGCTCATCTACTTCGTAAAGAAATCCGCTGTGTTTCCATACAGATGGGTTCTTGTGCAGTTTGGTGCTTTTATAGTCCTCTGCGGGGCTACTCATCTTATTAACTTATGGACCTTCACCATTCACTCCAGAACTGTTGCCATTGTGATGACAACGGCAAAAATTTTGACGGCAGTAGTTTCTTGTGCAACTGCCCTCATGCTTGTGCACATTATTCCTGATCTTTTGAGTGTTAAAACTAGAGAATTGTTTCTCAAAAACAAGGCTGCAGAGTTGGATAGAGAAATGGGTCTTATCCGGACTCAGGAAGAGACAGGGAGGCATGTCCGGATGTTGACTCATGAAATCAGAAGCACTCTTGACCGGCACACTATACTGAAGACCACTCTAGTTGAACTGGGTAGGACGTTATCATTGGAAGAATGTGCCTTATGGATGCCAACACGTACTGGTTTGGAGCTCCAGCTTGCCTACACTCTAAGGCAGCAGAATCCTGTTGGATATACTGTACCCATCCATCTGCCTGTAATTAATCAAGTATTTAGTAGTAACCGGGCTGTGAAAATTTCTCCCAATTCGCCAGTGGCTAGACTAAGGCCTCTTGCTGGAAAGTACCCTGGAGAGGTGGTTGCTGTCCGGGTGCCACTCCTCCATCTCTCTAATTTTCAGATTAATGACTGGCCCGAGCTTTCAACCAAGCGCTATGCTTTGATGGTCTTAATGCTACCCTCAGATAGTGCAAGGCAGTGGCATACCTATGAGTTGGAGCTTGTTGAAGTAGTTGCCGATCAGGTAAATACCTCATTTACTTAATGCTTACTCATCATTTTTCTTGATTTTTATGGGAAAAAGCTAGTTGTGATGTCCTAGATACTTGTACATGCCAGCAACACATACAGAGATACACTGGTTTGCCATTGTTGATGGTTGTTAGGTGATGCTCATTATTTTCTATCAATTCATCAGAGTTTTAGAATATTAGGATAATTAGAGTAAAATTGATGGATGATTGTTTTTTTTTTCTTTTTCTGTCTAACTCATTATTGATTTATCATCCCAACTATAGGTGGCTGTTGCTTTGTCACATGCTGCGATCCTAGAGGAGTCAATGAGGGCAAGGGATCTACTTATGGAGCAGAATGTTGCCCTTGATCTTGCTAGGAGGGAGGCAGAAACAGCTATTCGTGCCCGCAATGATTTCTTGGCTGTGATGAACCATGAGATGAGAACTCCTATGCATGCAATTATAGCACTTTCCTCCTTGTTACAGGAAACTGAACTAACACCGGAGCAGCGGCTTATGGTTGAGACAATTTTGAAGAGTAGTAATCTTTTGGCTACTCTAATAAATGATGTGCTAGATCTATCGAGGCTTGAAGATGGAAGCCTTCAACTTGATCTTGGAAGTTTTAATCTTCATTCTGCTTTCAGAGAGGCAAGTTTACATGATACTTCTCTCAATTACTCATATTGACTTCTAAACACCAGACTGAGTGATGTAAGGTAGGTAGTATGATTTGCTTCACGTGGGCTAAATGTAATATTTTTGTTTTCTGTCACAGGTTATCAACTTGATAAGGCCTATTGCTTCTGTTAAAAAATTGGTGGTTACCTTGCATTTGGCTCCAGATCTACCTGAATATGCCAGTGGCGATGAAAAACGCCTTATGCAAACCCTCCTTAATGTTGTTGGTAACGCTGTCAAGTTTTCAAAAGAAGGGAGTATCTCAATAACTGCTTTTGTTGCAAAGGCGGAGTCTTTAAGAGATCCTAGAGCTCCTGATTTCTTTCCAGTACCTAGTGATAATCACTTCTTTTTGCGTGTACAGGTTGGCTACTTTCGACCTCTGTATAGATCATGATATTAGCCTACTCTAGTTTCTGACTCTGGTTTTGTTAACCTACTGTTTATCTTGTGTAGGTAAAAGATACAGGTTCGGGAATAAATCCTCAAGATTATCCTAAGCTGTTTACCAAATTTGCGCAAAGTCAGTCTTTGCCAACCAAAAATTCTGGTGGCAGTGGACTTGGCCTTGCAATTTGTAAGAGGTAGAGTGCTCCTTTTCAGTCATAGGTAGTTTTTGCTTTAGTTTCCTGGCAGTAAGCATTTTAACAAGACTTCTTTCTTCCATTTTGCACCATCCATTGGACTCTGGTTGCCATCTTTATTGTCATTCTATAGGAATTTAGAAATGATCATACATGCTCTTGATGTGTTCACCCTTTCACATGCTTGTGATCAGGTTTGTAAATCTTATGGATGGACATATATGGCTTGAAAGTGAGGGCTTGGGTAAAGGCTGCACTGCAATCTTTATGGTCAAGCTTGGGGTCACAGAGTGCTGTACTGAGTCTAAGCTGCCTGCTGCAACTAATGCATCAATGAACCATGCTCAAACTGCCTTTCCTGGACTCAAAGTTATGGTGATGGATGACAACGGGTAAGTGTTATAAAAGCTTGTATAGCCTTTTTTGTTATATATATATATTTGGACATCATAAATTAATTTATACATGAGCTTGTCCAAAATGCCTTAATGCGGAACTGAGCTTCACAATGTAATTAGGTCCTGCATAGAAGAAGATTTGAATGCTGTACTTTGCGAGACATGAAAGAGTGATTCAAATCTACATTGTTCTCCACTATTTGTTGCTTTTGTTGAAAGATAAGCTGGATTTTCTTTTTTACTTCTCTGGTAGAAAATGCTAGACATCTTTACTCGTTTTTATCTCTTCTTTCATGTGTTTGGGAGTATATATCGAAATAAATAGGGCAAAGGGTTAGCTAAGATTTGTTCAATGATTATTAACATTGAATAGTTTTAGTTCCTAATTTGATATAAAGACAAAGAAAAATGCCAGGAGCAAAGGGCATAGCTGAAAGTCTTGGGGAACTGTTTGTTAGACTGGAGTAATTTTGGGGCTTGTTAGGACTATCATATTTTCAGAAATCATGCGTGCTAACTGCAGTCATTCATTTGGAAAGTCTCAAGGAACCGTTGCTCCCTAAACCCTAATATAGGTCATATATATTATTCCACCTACTAGGAGACGTTACTTGCAAAAGACTGTTATGTTCACCAGAAGCTTTCCAAGACAATCCAAAGTGAGGATAGATTGCATAGGACATGTGTCCCTTGCTATATTTTAAAGATCCAATGGACTAATGATGGTTGACTCATATAAAATTAAGTTTCTTCCTGATATATTCGAAGGCTGTATGTGGGGAATCATCCTGGGAAGACCTTGGGTTGGATTTATTCTTCGATTATTTTGTGCACCGATATCTGTTCTAGACCGTGAGCCAACCATAAAATATAGGTTTGTCTTCACTACACCCGCATTATTGGTGAATATTTTGCATCCGGCTCATTATCGTCATTTTGTGTAGATGATTCACATCTAAACAATGTCAATCTTTATTTAAACAAAAAACAAAAACAAAAGGATGAATTTGCACGAAGTTCATTTATAATGTACTTGTAATTTAAAGGTCTAGGGTTTATAATTTAGGGCTCAGGGTTTTTGGGTTTAGAAATTTGAGGTGTAGGGCTTTCGATAATGCATGTGTTAGTTGTAGTTCTAAGTTGTATCATCATATTAGACTACTACTGATTGTTGACAATTAAAATTTTAGATTTAATGACTGAAGGCTAATTTTAGGTTTGGGTGCATAGTATCCACTCATTTATGTGAGTGCACCGTAGAAGCCATCCCACACAATATTAGACTAATGCTAGCAATTAAAGTTTAAAATTGGATGATTGAAAGCGAATTTTAGGTTTGGGGGCTTAGTATACAAACAATTCTACGAGTGCACCATAGCAGCCATCCCACAAAATAATATAGGACTATATGGGGCGCAGACTGTGTTTGAGTTGATAGTTTCATGTGGCTCCATATGAGTAATTGAAAATGGGAGGCTGAATGGACACAATTCAGAACAGTCTGGAAAATTTAGAGTTTCTTCATAGAAGTTTGAGGTTGTTGCTTTCGGTTTCTATTTTTATTTCAGAAGAATTGGTTAGATAGGTGAAAGTCGACTTGTACTGCTTTTCAGATGGGATGGGCTCTCCATGTGTTTTAATTTTAACGTATCATCAACTAAATCTTCAACTGATCGAAGTATCTGATGCCAAAGAAACATCCTCCAACTCTGTTTTATGTATTTTTTTTAGTTTTCCAGCTTCATTTCACCTGTCTTTCGTTGTGCCCATAAATAACAAAGGAAAATGTAAACTTGCAGTGTTAGCAGAATGGTAACTAAAGGACTTCTGGTGCACCTGGGATGCAATGTGACAACTGTGAGTTCAGGAGACGAGTGTTTGCGATTGATCTCCCAAGATCACCATGTGGTATTCATAGATGTATGCATGTATGATGGCTATGAGGTTGCTCTTCGTGTGCATGAAAAGCTCACGAAGCGCCACGAGAGGCCTCTAACGGTGGCCCTGACTGCTAACTCGGATAAAGCGACCAAGGATCACTGTCGGAGAGTTGGCGTGAATGGGGTTGTGCTAAAACCCGTCTCTGTTGATAAAATGAGGTCTGTTTTGTCTGACCTTCTGGAGCACCGGAATTTGGTATAAAAGGCCAGCCAGGTAAGCTGTAGGGGGAAATGAGGGAACATTTGAGGGATGTTGTATACTTGTATTACTGTGTACGATTTTAGTACGAGTATGTATATAACATGTATTGAAGCGGAGCATCGCTTTGAAGCCATTCATTGTAAGATGACCCAGAATTGGATTGATTGTAACAAGTGGGATGGGTTTTTTCCCCCCATGATTTTCCTCATTGGTAACTTAAAGCTGAATCTGCTGCACTTGGGCTAGTTGTGAAGAAACTGTTGCGCATGTGTTACTCTCCATTCGCCTTGGTTCACTTTAAGTTTATAATACTTCTCAGTTGTTCCAGAGCATTGTTCATCTCTATCTCTGGTTTAAAGAAGCGGACCCGTGCTAAAGGTCTGGTATTTATAGGAAAATTGTATTGTTAATGCTTAGTAAATTTATTCAGTACCATTGAGAGGAAGGGCGTTAATTATGAATTAGCTTGTGCCTATGTCATTCTTTTATTTTTTCAACTTTACGTAATCCTTACAAATATATTATTTATGCTTTTGATTTATGGTCCTTAATAAACTTTAATTTTTTTTTCAATATTGATTCTAATAATTTATTTTATTACTATACAACTGATAACACCCAATATGGTGTTATTTAGCATCCATTTGTTAGATGTTTTTATGTCATTTTGAGGATGATTGGATTGATATAATGTCATTTGTAGTCTAGATCGCTTCCTTTTGTTATATCATTTCATTTTATTCGCATTTGACATTACAAGTTAAAAAATGGGAGAAAATGGGCTAATGTGTAGGAAAAATGGAGCAAAAAGGAACAAACATCAAGATCGTAGCCAAAGGAGCAGGATCTCGCCCGAGAAATCCAGCCTGCGAAGTAAAGTTATCTCACTCGAGAAATCCAGCAAGAAGATTGCAACCGTGATCTCGGGACTTCCGAGCGTGAACTTTAGCACGAGGCGCCAAAGAGAGAACAAAGTCTTGCTAGGTGGATCACATGCCCCGTTATACGAAGTCGTGGCAAAGATCACGACCGCGAGAAGAAGTTCGCGGCTACGAACTCAGGCTGCGATCTCTCGCCCTGCACAGACTACACCAGCACAATTCCAGAACCCACGACATTCCACCAAATTCTAACTGTGTATTACGTAACACGTGCCGAATCCTCCGCTACTCTCAGAGACATCAAGTTGAATTGAGATAACTCCCAAGACTCGTAACTTAAATAGGGATATGGGAATCCGAATTAAATACATTCATGGAAATTCCTACAATACCTTGAAGTTATGGTAACTTGATGTTTTTGACCTGCTATAACAGGTTTCACAAGTCGCATTACGTAAAATACAACAGGCATTACGTAATGGTTATGTAATGTGTGTTTATCTTACGTAATAGTTGAAAAATGTCATTACGGAAACCTTACGTAATAGACACTCATTTTACGTAATGAATATTAACCTTTCGTTACGTAATCTGTTGAATCATTACGGAAGGCTAACGTAACACTTCTAATTTAACTGTTACGTAAGAAATAACTATCGTTACGTAACCTTTACATAATAGATGCATACTTTACGTAACAGTTGTAAAGTGGCATTGCGGAAGCCTTACGTAATGTATGGTCCTTTTATGTAATGATATTAATCAAGTTACGTAATGTGGTAAGTCATTACGGAAGTCTTACGTAACACTTCTAATTTAACTGTTACGTAAGAAATAACCTTCGTTACGTAACATTTACTTAATGAGCGTGTATTTTATGTAACAGTTTTAAAATGTCATTACGGAAGCCTTAAGTAATAGACAATGCTTTTACGTAATGAATATTAATCTAACGTTACGTAAAATGATAAGTCGTTACGGAAACCTTCCGTAACGCTTCTATTTTAACTGTTACGTAAGACTAACAAGCATTATGTAATTGTTACATAATAAACATTAGTTTTACGTAACGTGACCTATAAAACCTGCCATAGCAGGTAAAAAATGTCAAGTTATAGTAACTTCAAGGCATGGTAGGAGGTCCGTTACATTCATATATCTACATCTATGAGTGCAAATCGAATTAGGCGCGACTAAATTTTGCAGATGACGAAGTATCTCGGCGCCGAAAATAGAATCAAAGATTATATATGAAAGGGTACAATCAATTCCTGGAAAATCCTAAATACGTTAACAATCACATTGGATAGTTGCTCCTTGGTCTTCTGATATTTGGATGCTCAATTCCACGCCACTAACCTGAGAGCTTTCATTTTTCTTGTCGTAGAAATAGGAACGGGTGAGAAGAATATTGTCTGGATCTTTAGCACCATGTGGAATCCGTTTTGGTGCATCTGATAAACTTGTTTCAGCAGTGAAATCAAGATTACTTTAATATATTCACACAACCTTGGTGAAAGATAGTACAGAAGTCTCATCCCAGCCGCAAGTGGTGTTTTCTCCCAATTGGTTCAAGGTACGTGAAGTTCCAACTAATCCTGGAGGCTACAAGGTCACGTTTGTAATAGTAAAAAAAAAAAAGACAATAAAAGGGTAAGGGTCACCGTTAAATTATAAAATATAATAACAAAAAGGATACGTTAACTACTTGCATTGCGTGGCTGAACGAATGGGTCGCGGAGTCGTTTTTTTTTTAGCAATAGATAACTGGTATTACCAAAACATGGAAAAAATCCCAAAGTACAATAGTTCTTAAAAAAAATTCCCAAAATACATAAGCTATAAAAAAAATTCCAAAAGTACACATGTTTGAGCATCACCGTTTTAGACAAAAACGGTGAAGGTCATCACCGCGTTTGACGAACACGGTGATGTATTCACCGTTTCATACCAAAACGGTGAAGGGTTCACCGCGTTAGTTAAAAACGGTGAATACCTCACCGTTTTAAAGGAAAACGGTGAAGCCTTCACCGTTTTAAACTAAAACGGTGAAGGCTTCACCGTTTTTGTAGGCCGCGGTGAAGTTGCTGACGTGGCAGCACGGGGCATTCACCGCGTTAGACAAACACGGTGAATAACCCGTGTTTGTTTGCGTCAGCAATCCGCGCCAATGTTCTTTCACCGTGGCCGTTAGATGCGGTGAGACGCGGATCGTGGTTTTCTTCCCACGATCCGACGCCTCACAGCATGCCACGTCAGCTATGCATTCACCGCGTTTGGTTAAAGCGATGAGTTCACCGCGTTTGATGAACGCGGTGAATGGAGCCCTAATAACTGCGCAGCAGCTCCTCCCCCCTTCCCCCAAACTATAAATACCCCCTTCCCCTTTCACTTTCAACTCACCCCACAAACATTTCACTTCTTTCTCCCTCAATTTATCCGCTCTAGTCTCGTTCTAAGTATGCTCTGTGGTTGCGGCTAAGTCCGATCTTCCACATCAGAAAGAATTACTAGAGTTTGACCCTAAATCCCCCGTCCCGCTAAGTTCCCGTCCCTTACAAAGCTAAACCCGTCGAACCTCTGTCCGGCTTCCGCCAATAATGGACGAAGAGGCTCTTCGTGTAGGTTTTTGGTTTATGATTTTTTTTAATCGAAACAATTTGATTTTTTTTTATCAAAACAATCTCTGATTTCATTACTTTTTTATAGATGGGTGCCGAGATATACGATCCTCCATTGTATATCCATTATGGCCCAAGGGATGCGAGTCTCTTAACCGATCAAGAAATGCATCGCTCCCGTGCCATTTGGGATAACAATCCGGTAATTTGATGAACTGACTTGCTTTATTTTATTATTTTCTAATGTTTTATTTTGCTTTATTTAATCTAATAAATTGATGTTTTTCCTATTTTTTTTAGGAATCTCTTGTTCCCGTGGTTCATAAAGGGACCAATAACTTGCCCGCTTGGCATCCAAGGTTGGAGCCCTATATAGCGAGGACCGGTTTGGGAATGTTGCGCCATTTCTTGCGGATCGAGATCGACAACGAACTGCTTACGGCAATGGCGGAACGATGGCGTCCCGAAACCCATACATTCCACCTTGCGGAGGGGGAAATGACGATCACCCTCAAAGACGTGGCGATCCTCACCGGGCTTCCTATATCTGGAGATGCCATCATTGGGAACACGACCAAACCCGGAGGAGGTTGGGGGCCGCTCATCCGTGATCGTTTGGGCTTCGACATGCCGACCACCACACCAAATCAAGGACGGGGGCATCCACCGTTGAATGCGGGGCAAGTGTCGGTCCCGTGGCTGGTATCTCACATCCAGCAAGAGGTGGAAATCAATGACGAGACACCGGAAGAACAAGTCGAGCGCTACGCCCGCATCTACCTCATCGGTTTGGTGGGTGGATTTTTGTTCCCCGACAAGTCCAACCGGTGGATTCAAGGCATATGGTTGCTATTGCTCACCGGTGACTGGGATGCAATTGGAGAGAAGAGTTGGGGATCGGCCGTGCTAGCGGGCGTATACCGGGAGCTGTGTACTTGCTCGAAGGTTGGGGCAAAGCAAGCTGGTGCTGCGATGTTCATCGTTCAACTGTGGGTATGGGAGCATCTTCCAATGTTCGCACCTCTCGATCCACGTCCATACCGGAGAAACGATGATGAGCTCAACCTTCTGCAAAATCTCCCCTACGGTGTCAAGTAAGTTTATTTCGTACTTAGCCCAATTTAAATTTTATTACATGCTTGAGCTAGATTTAAATTGAATTTATTTCGTACTTAGCCCAATTTAAATTTTATTACATGCTTGAGCTAGATTTAAATTGAATTTATTCCGTACTTAGCCCAATTTAAATTTTATTACATGCTTGAGCTAGATTTAAATTGAATTTATTCCGTACTTAGCCCAATTTAAATTTTGATTACATGCTTGAGCTAGATTTAAATTGAATTTATTCCGTACTTAGCCCAATTTAATTTTTATTACATGCTTAATTAGATTTAAATTGAATTTAAATTGATTCCGTACTTTTACTTACAAGGTGGATAGGAGCAAATACGAATGACCATCAGCCTGAGTATTCGTTACTGTTTTATCGTTCTGA